CTTCGAAGATCTGCAAACCATATTGGCTCTAGACGGCCTGACGCAGTAGCACAAACTTAGCGCAGAACTATAAACAGAGAACTCAATAATATAAATTATAACTGGAATCACATACACTTCGAAGATATGCAAACCATATTGCCAGAACAGCAATCAGATGCAATCAGCGGAGAACTGTAGACAAAGAACTCAGTAATACAAATTATTACTGGAATGATATATGCCGCGAAGCACTCAATAGAGTTAGATTTAGATCTATGATACCATACTTACATACTTACTAACTATTGTCCTTTTCTCCTCGTGGAGCATATACAGGGCATATGGACAATGGACAATGGAGAAAAGGACAATAGTTAATAACCATGTAAGTAAGTGATCCTTCAGAGATCATTTATGAGTACTTGTTAATAGCACATACTTTACTTGTCAATAGCTCGACCGTTACTGGCGGAATTAACGAACATGCCTTCGTCATTTTCAAGAGGATAGTACAACACTTTGAACATTTCACAGAAAAACGGAGATTATTTGACTATGTAAGTTCGATGGTCTACGCATTCCTATTGTTTAAAAGACCATATTGTTAAAATTAGATAAGTAATCTAAACAAATAAAATCTATAATATCTGCCATTCTTAAACACATTTTTTCTACTGTAATATATTTCAAATTTGTGTGATATTAAAATGATTATAGCCATAATGATATATTAACAGGAAATATTTCCTATACCACCACTTAAATACTTAATAGGATTGAGCAATGATTTGAATTCAAAAAATACTGCCTCAGAATTAACTTTTTTTAATCTAAAATCTTCAAAAATCAAAGATAAAAAACAACTCTCAAATTTATATTAAAGATACATCGTGTACTACAAGACATCGGCAAAGCATTAATATACACAATACTCAAATTTGCACTAAAAGTAATTGAAGTAAAGCACTTCTGTGGTGCTTAAAGGCACTTTTTTGTGACCGGAAAATAATTAAATTTTTTTTTTTATATTATATCGATTACTTTGTAATATCGAACACTAAAAAATTAGATTCAATTTTAACAAAACTTTCCCATCAATGATGGTTAGTCTTTTCTTCTTTTATCCAAGTAGCCACTTCTGTCTAGTAAATTTGTCGTATTCTATAAATTTATAGCTTGACTATATTAGTTTGAATTGTTCGTAACACTTAATGGTTTTTCGTTTGTATTTTGGTGCTGTTAGAAAATAATGATGGATATATTTTTAAGCACCTTTTAATGGGATCAGTATTTATCCCTCTACTGAGGATGCTGCGTATCAATAATTTTTTCCCCTTTATTAGCTCTACATGGGAGCATAAGGTCTCAATCCAAGTATGATATCTTAATCTATTTAGAGATAATGTTTTTAATTCTAACCACTTCAGTCCTGTGTAACGCAGTCTAACAGATTTTCGTTTACCCATTGGATTCCATTCTAATGCCAATCTTGACATATCCATCTCCATCTCCAGCACTTTCTCAACCAAGAAACATATCTAGATACTCCTAAGAAATATTCGTTGTGAGTGAATCCCAAATTTATTGAATCGTTTTTTTAGCCTAACTTATATGAAATAAATTTAATTAATATAATTATTTATATACTTAAGAAATAATCCTGCTTTTGTGATAATATCTTCACCTAATTCATTTCATTTCCAATAAATTAATAGTTTTAAGTTTATTTATCAGCATTACTTCATCTTTAGCATTTGAAGAAAAAAAAGTACTCAAATTATTTTCAAAGGCACTCCTTGTGAACAAACAAAGTTTCCACGAAAGTTACACCCACGTTCGAACAGTTTTCTACAAAACTTGAATAACACCTCCAAAACTTTTTCGCCTTCAAATGGAAAGTTTGGATTTGTATTCATTACTCCAATGCATTACAAGCAATTACTTTCAATTTCATTTCGAAAAGCACATCAATTTTAAATTGGCTGAGTGTGAATAAGGGGCGAGTCGATACACGTCATTCTGGAAGAAATGTTTTTCCAAATGAACAAATGTGGCCTTGGTGGAATGCCAATACTTAGATGTGGCATATTTGATTTATTGTGGCCAAGAAAGAATAATTTAGGAAAACTTGGCTAGCAATCTAAGAAAAATGTAGGTGAAATAATTGGCACGCAAATTTTAATTACTTGATGGTGCAATAAAAAAAGATTTCATTCACTTTCAATGAAGAAATAAAATAAAATTGCAGCACTTTATGACAGATAGACAAGCATATAATGACTAGTTATAAAATATTATTAATAAAAATAACAATTTCTCAAGTACTATTGAAGGTTTCTTCAGTCATAAAAATGTTACACTCCAATTAAATGTATAAAAGGTTTGCCACACATGGTGAACTTTGATTTATGCAAAATCTACATAATAGGAACTTTTGAATGTCGGCATTCATATCCTTCAAACAATTTAATTTCACAACGGACGTAATATTTTCCATCAATGTCATGATAAGTATCATTACTATTATCCGCGTCCTTTCTGTCTGAATATTAATACTTTTTTCCTTCTCCTTTCAGTATGACTTATTATTTAAAAATATTTAAAGTTTAATTTCACAATTCGTCATTTTACTTTTTATAAAAATTTACTTGAAAATCATTTTAACCATTAAAATATATTGACAGTAGAGAACTACTTTGAACAGTAGTGAATTACAACAACATAATTTTTTTAGTATTTATTAATTAATTGATTGACCATGCAGGTATTTCGAGTATTGCCAAAAACTGTGTTAAAGAACTCTTACAGAAAATTAATAAATCTATAAACTAGAACATGCAAGTCAAACACAGTTTTGAGTCAGTTAGCTAATGAGCACTGACTCTGAGCCTTAAATTTGGCAGGGTATAAATTCAACACTTAGTACCTGGAGTCTCAAAAAATTATTTACGAATAATTGAATATAAAAAATAATTCTTACTAAACTGATGATGGGTATTTGGCAATAATTAATTAATAAAATTAAAATAATAATTAAATAATTAAAACAGTAATAATTAATAATAAAAAATTTTGCTATTGTGATTTACTACTGTTCAAAATACATACCTCTCAATTTAATCAATAGTTTCTATTAAGAAACACTTTAAAATTCAATTTTGATATTGACAGTTATTGTTTTTTTTTTGCAACAATATCAGATTTTAAATATTTTTCAAATATTTGAATCAGTGGCGGCATTAGGTCTCTTGTGGTAAACAAAATACAGTGTATAGTAAAAATGATTACTACTGTTAAAGAGAGCCCATTAATGACGATACTATGTCGCAATGAAGTGTTTGTGAATGTTACAAAGTCTTTCAGTAAGGTCAATGACACATTGAAGGTGGTGCAAAATCTGGACGCTCTAATCATTCTCTTCATCAGTCATTGTACTTTTGTTCCTATCCTAAATCAAACAAAAGGAGATAAGATTTGAAGAAAGATAAGTTAAGAGATAAGAATATAAGATTAAAGAAAAATAGTGTATCGATCTGAACACTAAACCTAGAAAAAAGTAGCAATAACATTGTTTCCCGAACTTTTAGTAATGTTAAGAGGGAATACTTTAAAGGGGTGAAATAAAAGTCAATGACTAAGTAAATACTTTTTTAAAGAATTGAACTCTCGTTACTTTTTGATCAAACCTCGTAAAGTATTCAATTATTTCTTGCTTTCACTATATTAATTGATATTAAGTTCGCAAACTACAATACAATTAAATATAGTACATAGTTTTAAAATTTTTATTGATAATTCCATATATAGCTGCAGTTATAATTTCCTAGGACAGTCTCAATGTCGATTATGAACTTTTATATACTTGACCTGAATTTTTTTAAGTTGATAAAAACTCATTTGTACTCATATAAATATACATATGAGGTCATTGCAAATAGCTTCAATGTAAACAAGACAATTTCGAATCCTTACAAATAATTGAAGTAGTAATTTTTTATGACCTCTCAAAATGTATTTTCCTTACGGTTTAAAAATTAATAATTTTTTTGAATATTCTTAGTTTTTAACTACCGCTTAAAAATGCATAAATTTAGCTAATATTTTCCGGGATGAACAACAAATATTTAACCCATTCCATGATTAGGAGAATATTCTTAAAAATATATATTTTAATGTTTCATAGTTAACAGGACGACGAATGGTTTGGAATGCCGTTAAGATATTCCTAAAGATGTTACTTCAAGTGTTTTGGTGGTCTAGTGAATTGTTAGAGCCTGGATTACCTTCAATTGTTAATTTTCACTTTAATAACGTTGCAATCTCCAAACTTTTTTTTTCAATTGCGAATAATTAAAAGACCATCTTCGTCAAAATCATCCAATTTAAGCTTTTCACTTCTTCGTTAATCCATGTACGTTGTTGTCTTTGATATGGATAATCTCTTAGATCTACATTTAAAACCTTTTCGTACTTTCACAATACCTGAGACGCTGATGCCTACTTCATATATAAGACTAGCTGAACTATATCATCTTAAAACCGAGATAAAGTAGTTGGTAGGGCATCTAACGGGTCACTATGGTCTGTGTAATCAACTTAACACAACTAATCTGTCTGAGGAAACAGATTGTTGACTGTGCCTCGAAGCTAATAATCCTATGATCTTCTGGACTAGGAAGATCATAGGATTATTGGACCGGAAGATTATATTCCCATCTAATATAAGAATGTCGTTTACAACTTACACACTGAGCTTCATTGGGAAGGTGGAATGTCTTCTGCTAAGTTAGTGTCTATTAAAAGCACAAAAGACCAGCTAGGGTCACCCCACGGGCAGTTTATATTTTCCATTCTGTACTGTCACTAAGCCAGTTTTTGAAAAATTGCACAATTTCCTCATCAATATTTTATGAGTGCATTATATCTGAAACAAGTTTCTTAGAATAAAATAAATATGGTTTAATGAACACTTATTATATTTAAATTCTTTGAACACTTCATATTTATCATAATTTCAGAAATAATAGTCAAGAATTTCTGGAAGTAAAAGACGACGATAATCCACCCAAAGGTTGTTGTCCATGTTGCTTTCGATTTTGCCTGCCGTGTCGAAGAGCACGTTGCGTACGTTGTTGTCGTCGGAATAAAAACAAAAACAGCGATGAATCCACACAGCCTGTATTGTCAGCGACTAGTAGTGCTACAACTACAAATCTTGAGGTAATTGATGAAACTCGCAGCTTAGACCAAAAGAAGAAGACAAGTTGTTGGCAAAAACTTAATTGTTGCAAAAGTTGTAAAAGGAAAAAGTCAAAAACTCAAGCTGAAGAAGAAGAAAGTGTCATTGCCGAGCGACAATCGAAAATGGAAGGAAGTGGACATGCTACAATGCCAACAACGCCTATTCCAGAGCAGCAACAACAAGGACCAATGTCACCAACGAAACAAAATAAATGTGGTTTGTGTTTAAGTAAAATTTTCTGCTGTCGTTCGGTGAATAAGATCGATCCAAAAACTGGGCATGAAACTGAGATCAACAAATGTTGCTTTTGCATACCATGCATTTGTAAACGAGGCCCAAGAGGTTCTACAGTGAGCTCTGTAGGCGGTTCACTTGGTGCAGGCTCCGCTGCTTGGCAAGATCCGGAACGTGGCATATCTGCAACAGATGCTTCAGTGTTACAAGGAGTGGATGAAACACCAAAAGAGTAAGTTAAATTTTTCAAGTAATTTAGCAAATAAAGATTTATATTTAAAATAAATACATGTATTGATATAAATAATATTTTAAAGTGGCTGCTGTAAACGTTTCTGGAGTCGAGTATTTTTCTGTAGAAAGAAGAAGGTGCCCAAGCCAAGCGAGAGTAGACGTCAAAGTATCAAGGCTCCACCACCACCGACAGAAGTAAATGTCTTTTTCATAATAAATTCATTTCTAGAATTAAAATTTATTTTTTCTCCTGTTAATTTGCAGGATACTCGACGTAAGCTTCATGTGGACTTAGTGGAGTACAATTCAAAAATGAAAGGTGCTATACCAGTGTTACCACTATTTTTGGCATGGTTTTGTGCTATTTGCAACACTGTTGTTCCAGGACTTGGCAAGTCTTTTCAATATTTTTTTTTTGTATATTTATTTCTGACATGATTCTCAGTACTGGGAAACCCCAGGAATAAAGGGTATTTGTAATGAGAGCTATTTTAAGCAATTGTTCTACTACTATTTATGTTAATGTTAATTTATGTTAATTATGTTACTACTATTTATGTTAATGTAGCTTCGTTTTTATGTATAGTGCTTTTAACACCGGAATTTCTCTACTAATGTAAAAATGTCGTTACTTTTTACAGGTAGATGAGGTATGTGGTTGTTGTTAAGGTAATTAATGTAAAACTACGACTACATACCTAAATAACTCGAGAAATAAACTATATCACGAAATAAACTTTTTGTAGCGTAGTATAAAATTTGCTGAAAATAGCTGTCTTTACTAAAGTTCGTTGTGAAATGGATTCGCCCATACATTATATAGATATATAATTCCTTTTTTGATACTTATCTTTTTTTATAGGTACTCTCTTATCTGGTATATTCTGCATTTGTATTGGCATACCACGTTTTTCTCAGCACGATAGCGCAAAGGCACGCGTTGGGTCTCTTATAATAAATATAATTGTGGCAGTTGCTCAGCTATTTTGTGTACTCTTCTGTTTCGTTGGTTGGGGTTGGTCCATTTGGTGGGGTACAATTATGCTCAAATGTGCCAGTGAGTTTATGAAAACTTTCAATTAAATTGCTTTAAATAATATATTTATAAATTTTTCACACTAGGAAAACTTAATAAAATCAAGAAGGTGGAACAGCTTGAAAAGGAAGAGGAACGTCGACAGGCTGAAGCCGCAGCTGCTATTGAGGCAGCTGGTCGTGCAATAGTTGCTGCAGAAGCTGAAGCGGCCAAAGCTTAAATACCCTAATTTTTTCATTTTCTCTATGTTTTGGAGAAAAGCCACAGGCTAAGCCTGCAGCAGCTACTGCAACAGTTTGTCGTACAATAATTGCTGTCTATAAGGAACGATAATAGCTTTAATACAAATTATTAACAAAATCTAAATTTATTTAGGAAACTTTAAATGCGAGTAACAAAGAAATCTTCCATATGAATAAATTCCTTATAAAATGTGGTCTTTCATTAAATTCTGATTCAGAATATAAACTTATTTTGCTAAACAAAAATCTTCCACAATATGTACTTCCCCATATCAACCTTATCACTAATGAAATAATCCATCACAAAACATTGTTTCTTATAAAACCTTCTATCACTACAACAAAGTCTCCAATGTAAATCTTCAACAACTTTTTTAAATAGAAAAAAAGCCTTTCACTATAACATTTTTATAAAAAGATGTTATAATTTCAACTGTTTCTAAATTATAAATAATTTATATAATAGGAAAAACCACTCCATAAAATGTGACTTCCAGTAACAAATTATATTTTAAAAAATCCTATTTAAGTTGTTATTACATTATATATTGTATACTAATGTAAATCAATATATTCAATGTTTAATACCAGAGTAATATTTAGTAGACTAAATATTTTTCTAGAACCATCCGATTATATATTTGACTTTACTAAGTCGTTAACTATTCTTCTATATGTATTCCATTACATAGATATACGTACATTACATGAAATCGATTAATCCTATAACAACTAATAGGATTTATACCGAAATGCTAACAGCAAAATATAAAATTTTGATAACTATTTATACATAAAATTTGTACATATCACGGGAGTATTAAAAATAACTCATGTGTTATCTAACTCTCTCATAACCAAGACACACATAAGTGCACTTATTTAGGCTTTAAGCAGAATATCTTAAGAACATAAACTCCACAAGTCATTATTTAGTTTTTAAACAACCCAACATTTTATTGGTTAAAATTTGTTGATTTTTTGTACTTAAAGAAATTTTACAAACAATTTTTTATATACTTTATTAATATATTTGTATATACCAAATAAATATATATAATTATATTTAAGAGTGCTAAGCAATTTTTTTAAATAAAACTGAAATAAATACAAATGCTTTCGATTTTTATTTAATAGTAAGAAAAATCCTAAATTACAGATAATTAATACCAGGGTGTTCAGAGATAGTAGGAAATTATTTATAGTTAGAAGAAAAGTACCTTAACAGCAAGAACCAATTCTCACATCAAGTTATTTGATAGTAAAGTGTTTAGAAATAATGAAAATCAAATGGACCTTAATAGTAAGAACAAATTTTATATTGAAGTATTTGATACTAAAGTATTCTGAAACAGTGGAGTTCTTTTATAGTAAATGAAAGCATGGTACTGAACAACAGTTTTTTGGCCAAGGAGATATAGAGGTATGATAGGTTTTACAACGCTCATTTTTAAAATCACATCAATATTTTTGCTAGGGTGTGACTCTAGTCATCCATGTGTTATAACATATTGACATAAATTAGTATATGAGAAAGACTCGTTAAAGCATAAAAATAGGTAAATACTGCAGTAAGTTCTTGGTGACCAATTCACATCACTTATAATAAAACTGATATTACACATCCAGGAAATTTTTCGCCCAACAAAGCCAAATCAAATCATGGTACCATTTTTAATATTACATATCTTCAAAAAACATATCTTCAGAAAAGTTTGAAGTCATGTTGCTGAAGCGATTAGAATCGACAGTTTATGATATACCTCGATCACTTCCAGAAAAGTAGCGGGCAATCACCTACAGACTACATGCTACATCATACAGTGACTGTTCATAGATGCAATAGTATCCTCCACACATATGCAATATCTTCTTTGAGACCAAGGTTGTCAGACAAAAAGGTTCTCAACAGGGCACCGCAAAACATCTCCCTGGATGAAAATCTCCCCCATGCAGCAAGAACTGTTCCAGTTTAACATCAGGATATAGCCGAGTTCTAAACAGTTACTTGTCACACATAAACACGTCTATTCCTAGTGTGTGTCCAAACTGCAGCTCAACTACCCATGACATCGTCCATCTGTACTCCTCCATCACCACCAACCACTACCAATCCACTTTCCTACTCATGTAATCATCTTGTATATTCTTTCATGTTATCTGCTTACAGATCCTAGAGGGTTACAAAAACAACAACAATATAGATGCAATAGTCTTTGATTTGTTAACATATTCACCAAACGTAACTACGGAACACAAATGCAAATGATGAAATGATTCAACTTTAAAAGTTCTGCGCTGTATTTCTTGTGATTTTTCCCTTACCTAGATGTGATAGTTTGCTGTTGACATATCCATGAGGCTAACTAAAAGATTAATCATTGATTAAAATTTAATGTGAAAAGTCGTCACTATTGTTGTAGGAAGTTTATATATATAAATTTAACAATCCGCGACTGTTAAACGTTCCCACATTGTAAAATGGCAAATCTTAAACCTCACGTATATTGCTTTTATTGAAAGTTCTCTTCGGCATATGTCACTTAAGCAATGATACTTAATCAGAACCACAAAACGGTTAACTCTTCACAACCAATGAATCATAAACTTTCGATGCCAACAACTTATCTTTATTAAAATTCTACTACTTCTATTTAACTTAAATTTATTTTTTATTCAATAAAAGTCACATTTTTAATCATTCACTTTTATTATTATTTCTTTTTTTTTAAATGATATAATTCGCATTTAGTTTTTGTTTTAAATGTTTTCTTGAATACCGCTAAATTCATTATTTAAATTATTCAATATATATACTTATATAAACTGAAATTCTTTTTTGCCCATTTGTAACTCGAATATTTTTTCCTTTTATTTAAAAAAAAACTTTAAATGTATTTTTAAAATAATTACATACAACACAAAACAAAATTAGAATACAAATTCATTAAATATTTTTTTTTAACTTAATTATGAACAAATAAAACCTAATAACATATATAAGAAAATTTACATACATATATATGGTAGAATATTTACAAAAATAAATATAAATTATAACGTAAAATTAGGATCACATAATATAAAACTAATAACTAAATAAAAATTATATTTATATGTATAGACTAAATATTATTAAATTAACTAAAAATATTACAAACATAAATGTACAAGGTATATACCATATATATATACCAAAGAATCTATAGTTTGGTTGCTGTTTATTTGTAGCACAAACGATTTTACATATATAAATTAATAATGTTTTAAAGCTTTATATGAAACACTCTACTAAAATATAGCCAAAATAGTAAAATAGGATTTTTTAATATAAAAATAATATTTAATTTTTTTTTTTTTGATGAGAAATCACTTAAGAAAATTAATTTTTGCTTGGTTATCTTTTTTTTTGAGTATCTGTCGTTAATAAAAAGAAAAACAATAATGGCACAAACTTAAAAAAGATAAACTGATATATGTAAATTTTTAAAGTTTACAAAATTTTTAATTTCAAGTTTAATTATTTTATTTTTAATTTTTTAATTTGTACATACACATTTACAAATATGTACGAGTATATAATTTCAGTATTACTTATGATGCTAGCGGACGTTTTAAAATTTCTCTGATTTTCAAGTTTTCTTTATTGTTTCATATATGTATATATCTAAGCATTTTTGTATAACTATTTATTTTTTTTTATAATATTTAAAATTCGAATTTTTCGGTTGAATAATTTGTATGTGTGCAAATTTTTAGAAAATACAAAAAAAAAATATTTAAAGCAATATATATGTGCGATTCTATTGAATTGAAAGTTTTTAAGCCGAAATATTTTTGTTTATATATCCTTAAATTGTTTTATTTTTTATTATTATTATAAAAAAATAACTACTTTCACAATATTAAAACTATATTACGCTATGGCATAAAATTTTAAAAATTTGCACACGTTATTTTTATCTATTTAGATTGTGATTTGTGTAATTAAAAAGATGTCATAACTATTATATATTATTTCAGACAAAATTGTTTGCATAAAGTGCTGCTAACTCAATTATGAGAGGCGTATTATAGTTAAAAATCTATATTACAGTAGACTCCCTATAGTACGATTCCAGATAAGTTGAAATTTAAAAGTTCTGCGAGGAAATTATGATCACGTTCATATAGTACGTTAAGAGACTCGAATAACACGCTAAAATAGTGAGATAGGTGTGCATTTTTTGTGAAAAAGAAAAGCATTTATTATTCAAACGTTTTAAGCGTGATTATTAAATAAAGTCATTTTATATATACAAAGTCAGTTAAGATAGAAACCCAATAAATCTGGACTTCATGAAGTTTTTAAATTGCCAAAATCACCCCTCTTTCTCACAGGCGTCAATACCAGCGTCATTAAAGAGTCTCTAACAAAGAAATACTCATAAATATTACTTGTCGACTCTTATGAGAAAATTTCCCCCTCTTAAATTTATTTGCATTTTAAAAAATGTCAAACATAATTTAAGGATTTAAGTAGCAAAAAAATCATAACCATCCTTAAGTCCCTTGTAATGTGAACGACTTGAGTGTTTGTATAAACTAAGTGACTCGTTCAACTCAGATTCACATAGTGCGTAATGAATCTACAGTTTTATAGGGAATCTACTGTGTACTTATATTATCAAATCCTTTAAAATTTATTACTTTCCATAAATTAATGTTATTTAAGTTGTGCTTTTATACAAAGTTAGCGTCGAAATAATTTTTTTGTAATTACATAAAAATATGTAGAGTCCAACTTACACAACTTGTATTATTTTTTTTTCTTTAATAGTATTGGTATGGGAAAAGAGCAGAAAAATAAAATGATTTTTTTTTAGTAGGCTATACTAGCTACAAAATACAAATATGCGTACAAATTATCCAATTTTACAACTTTGTTGCTATTGTAATAATAATAGTTGTTGTTAAGTTTGTTCTTTTTCTTTTTTGTTTTTATTTTAGTAGGGTTGATAACAGTCATGGAAGTCTATAAATTTCCTTTTTAATGTCATTTGAAGTGTTCATTTCTTATTATTTATTTAAGTATTTATTGTATAACACATTTCTCTTTGCCACCACTAATATCGACTTGTTCTAGTTCCCTCGCTATCTCATGATCATCTTCGATACTATAAAGAGATGGTTTTAAATTAATAAAAATTTAAATAGCCGGATTAGAACTTAATAACATACGCTATTTCCTGATTATGCAAATGTTGTACTAATTGATCTCTCTTGTCAACAATAGCAACCAATTCCTCTAATAATAAACGTTCCTTCTCACGTTGCGCCTCTGTTTTGCGCCAGTCCTCTACAGCTTGAGCTGCACGTAATTCTTCGTTGAGCATTGTATACTTCCTTTCCAAATCACTTTCTTGTTCACTATAAAATAAAAAAAAAGGTATAAATAAATTTAAAAAATATTTATTTAAAAATAATATAAAAAAAATTTTTTTTTTCCATAGTGTTATCAAAACGCGAATGTAGATCTCTTCTACCTCAAATAACAATAAAAAAAATTATAAAAAAATTAAAGAAAAATATAAACTCAATTTTTGTTTTTATATTTTTTATATAAAACATTTTTTAAACATTTGTTTTGTATTTAAATAAATACTTACAGAATATTCAACTGCATTTGACGACGCAACAGAGCATTTTTCTTATTTACAAGCGTAAACCATTGTGATAGCAGTTGCTCTTCAGTTTCTTCAGTTTCTATAAAAAATAATTCTATATATTAATTTGTAAATTCATTTATTTTAATTTTAATTAATTTAAATTAATTTAAACACATAAACAAAACAAAAATGCAATATAACAAAAAATGAAACAAACTGAATTCTAAAAATTCAATTTAAATTTTTTGATCCAAACAATTACTCAAATTTTTTCTTTATCAATATTATATTACAGATTATATAAACTATTTAAAATACTATTTTTTTTGAAACTAGCTAATATTTAATTATTTTTTATAAAAATATTTTTTAATTATTAAAAGCAATTAGCTACTTTTACAATTGAGTAATGAAAACATATGTATAGTGTATTCATAGAAGTGTATAATATTTATACATACATGTAGTACACACTATATATTATACAAGCATATATACACAAAAATGTAAATATATTATTTACATTTATTTTTTAATATACAAGTAATGATATAGAAGATAAATAAAAACAATCAACATCTATATATCAATAAATACTTCTTACAGAAATAATATTTTTAAACAATTAAACAATTAATATATTTAATTTTAATTATAATTAATATTATTATTTTAATTAATATCTACTGGGAAACACAATATATAATAGATAGGCTGAAATAATTTTGATCTGATATATAAAAACGTGTTATTTTTAATGTAGCTCAGCTTTATTGCTCAATATAATCTTCCTTAACTTTTAATTATTTTTTTTGACGGCTTATCTGCCATATCAACAACTAAAAGTACAATACTTTTGTGCTTTGTATCTTTAAAATAAGTCTCTATGTCGGCGATGACTTCTTTCCTTTTTCTTTACAGATAAATTGATGAGAAGATTACAGTCACTAAGGAATAGATATATAGAAGACGTCACTTTAATAAGCAATTCGTGCAATTCATATAATTTGACAATGTTTTTTAAGTCGATGAACAAACAAAATATAAGATCTGGAGACGTACAACAACATCAACTGCTACTTTAGCGTCATAAATTGTTTTGACCAATAGTTATAGTTTTTATAACTATAAATGATTGATTTTTTAGGGACAGATTCGTTATACAACTTATTAATATACTCTATTGTTACTTTTTTACCGAATGTTTTTTATATATCAAAAACATTTTTATAAGAATCATTGTTTACTATAACTTGTCAATTAATATTATGAATGTTTTTAAATCATATTTATTCTATAATTAATAATTATTAGGAATGTATCTTATAATTGAGAACAGGGAAATGATATGTTATCTATACGTCTGACTAAAAAGATTTCAGACTATTTAAATAAGTATCCGAGATGTTACGTTATGGCAGCAAATATCATTAACTAAATTATTGTTTATATATATACATTGATTATTTGGTAAACAAATTGTATGTACTTTATAATAAATAACATTGATATGAAAATATTTAAGAATTTGTTTTGGATACAAAAACTTAACAACATTTAAAAAAAAAGCCAAATCAAATAATAATGTATATGCAAACTTAATATAAGAAACTGCAATATTAAAGATATTATTGTTTCACAAATTTGTTAAAATTTCTTAATCATAAAAAGAGTAAAGTAATCTGGAAGATACAAACAAACGACAATTTTACAGCCGTAACTTAGGTTTCAATAGTGACTGAAGTATGACTTAAGCATAAGCTAAACTTTAGTGAGTATTAAAACTTCAGTTACGACTACGCAGTCGGCTCTAAATAATTCACAGACTTTAAAATTTGTAGCTTTTAAAAATTTGAGAAACAATATCTTGTAGTATTCAATATATTTTAAATTATACGCAGCAGCAATAGCAACAGCAGTAGCTCAGCAGCCCAATAATGTTGCATGATTAGTGTGGTGAGTAGATGGTACTTAAGTAGAATATAACAAGTACAGCACAAATGTTGGCGCATGATTTTTAAATTAAAAAATGATGCACATAATTGCTAATTATTACGAATTAATTGTTTAGTTACAAAAATTTAGTTATGATTGGTTAATGTAGTAATTTGATTTACGATCAACTATTTCTTAAATTCTAGTACTAAGTTTAAGTAACGTTAACTTTAAGTGTTAACTGCCATTTATGCGTGCGAAAGCGTGTAGACGGCAGCATTTTGCAATATCTCCTTTATAAGAAAGCGTTAATGCAACAAAAACGTTGCTAATCAGTGGCAATTGATGCATTTCAAAAATGTTAACTAAATACAAAGAGCATTATAAATTTACCGCAACAATTACTACGACTTCTTGAATGCTTTTCTTGATGATGATTATGATTGTTATGATTATGATGTCTATGACGACGCACTTTTCTTCTATGTTTTCTTCTTCTATGTGTGTCTTCATCATCACTGTATACTTTTAAATTATCACAGGAGGAATGATTTGACGAATTAGAAGACATCATTATTCTATATGGATGTGCTGTTGTATGTTGATGAAGATTTGGATGCGCTTCCACGAAGCATGATTGAGAACGTGGACGTTGAGTTCTATGTCTTGCATATGAATTTGTGTTACTTTGTTTTACATTTTTACCATAAAAACCACCACCACCACCAACATGACGTTTACCATCTTCACCGTCATCATCACTTGAATACGGCGATGAACTAGCCGATGAGGATGACGATGAAGACATTGACATTGTTGGAGTTGTAGCACCAGATGGTGTAAGTGAAAAGAATTCACCATTATCCATATCGAGCAATTTAATTCTAATACTATCACCACCACCAATACTATTGCGTATCAATCTAATAAATGGATTTCTACTAATTCTATTATTACTTGGATTGCCACCCATAACAGCACGCAATTTCTCTTCCAGACTGCTAGCCTTTTTATCGATTGCTTCCTGTTCACGTTCTAGTGCTTCTAACTCTGATTCGATGTAAGAAAGTTTATCTCCCTATCAAAGAAAACAATAAATTTTAAAAAGTTCTTTTAATATTTAAATACTTTTATACTTTACCTTCTTTTCTATATTTGGTGAGATGCGTTCTATAACAACATTGAATGACTGCAATGAATTGTTGCCATTATAGCGTTCACTTAATCTATGACTAGGACTTAATTTATTATTACTATTATCCACATCACGTGGCGGTGTAATTTTCTTTACAGGCGAGAGCGACAATTTAGGAGAGCCATTACTACTTCCACCGCTTCTTACACTATAATTTTCAACACCATTATGTATGGGTGAAATGGTGCGTTCCGGTGAGAAATTAAAACGCTTAAGCTTTGTAGGTGATGTAGGACTTTCCAAACTATGTACACCACCATTTGATGTTGTCTTTGTACGTGTTTCAAGTATAATACGACGTGCTTGTTCACGTAGCCGTTGCTGACGTTCATCCTGTTTTCAAAAAAAAGTTGGTAAATTTTAGTTATATTATTGCAATTAAAATCATATAGCATATATTATTATCAAATTGTTTATTTTTTAGTTATTGAGAGGCAAACTTTTTTTTTAAAATATATTAAATAATAATAATAAACAATAATAAATAATAAAAATTAAAGCTTTAAATTATTCTACTTACGTCGTTTTCATTTTTATCACCACTGGAAATTTTTAACTTTTCCATCATTATTTTAGCTTTTTCGCTCATTTCTTTATGTCTCGATAATATTCTCTAAAATAATAAATAAACAAAAAAAACAAACGCCGAAACGAAAGCAAATAATAATATAAAAGCTATAGCAATAAATTTATAAAATATAAAAAATTCTAAATAAACTTTTCATACAACTATTCCTTTAAAACTGGCAGTCGTTTGACCTCAATATCAATCAATTTTAAAACTTCATTTAAATGAAAAATAAAAGAATTTGAGGTTATTTATCAAGAAAACAAATCGAACATTGATATTCTCTTTTGAAGGTTCTTTTGAGCATTATAGGTCTTGGATGGCAGACATTTTATAATAAAAAACGGTTTCAAAGGATTAAAACCTAAGCAATAGTACAACGTTTAAACAAATAGAAAAGTCAACACAACTAATATTAACTTTTTCATACTACATAAGTGTACTATATCTGATATAGTACATTCATCATATTTACATATTTCTATCTAAATTGACAGTGTTATATATATTATATATTTTGTAAATTAAAAATAAAAATAAAATAAAATAAAATAAAAATAAATTAAAATAAAAATAAAAATAAAGCATGATTTAAAAAAAAAATAAAAACATAATATAAAACAAAATCATTAACAAGATTATAAATAAAAGGAACATAAAAAATACAAAAGAATATTTACAACATTTAGTGAATTTTTCCCTCGATTAATAGAAATTAAAAAAAAATTAATTTAAAAAAAATTAATTTAAATTATAAACATAGATTAAAAAAACATATATAAGAATAAAAAGCAATAAAAGGCTTATAAAAATTATTTATAAAAATAAAATTAGAAATAAAAAAAAATATACCACAATGTAGAATATAGATAAAAATTATAAATAAAAAGTTATATATCAAAAATTTTTAAAAATTCGTAAACACATTAAAAAAATCATTAACATAAACGAAAATTTAAAAAATATATAAGAATAAAATTTAATGAAAAAATTATGGAATTATTCATAGAAATAAAATTGTAAATAAAAAAAAAAGATACCAAAATATAATATATATATAATTTAGCTTTTTTTCTATATAAAGATATATTGAACATATATACTATAGTGCATTTCAGCAAAGAAGGACAATGATAAAGCAACAAATTGTATTGCAGTTCAATTTTATTGTGTTTTTAACATATAATTTCGACTGACGACTGAGGTCTTTCTAAATAAATGGACTATAACATATACTCCAATACTTGCAATAAAAATAAATACCTGTAAACTATATTTTTGGACCAAAGTTCGGTCCATGCCTGATATATGTAATACGTCCTTTAGGATACAGTGACTGATAGAATTTTTATTTCTTAATTCAGAGAATTAAGATCTCTTTTGTAAGCATTATTAATATAGATGTAGATTAACGTAGATAAGAGACTATATATGTGACACGTCCTTTAGGACAATGACTCATAGAATTTTGGTATAATAAAAAATGAAGTTCTGTTTTATTAACACAAATTAATATAGATATAGATTAGTGTTGTCTAGTTACCTATTTATACTATTAAGCTTCATATTATATCATTAAATATTATTAATTTAAGGCAATATAATTTTCAACTGTCACTTTTCATTTTGGAATAATTAACATCACCTTAACTTTATTTATGGCAATATAATTTGCTTAACCGAAAAACGAAGTGCAAGCACATAAGTTGTATGAAACTAAAACTCAAATTAAATGAAGCATTTTCAACTACTAGTAAAAAATTCAACTATTAAAAAGCTATAAAACAATATTAAATCAATTATTCAAAACAAACAAAACTCTAAGCAAATATTTAACTGCCAATAATGAATAATAATTCAACCGTAAGAAAATTTCGCCAGACTCACATTTGCTGTATTTGGATCCAAATTAGTGGGCGACAGTGGTACTGCCACTTGTTGCTGTAGCGTTTGTTTCTGCGAATTTTGTGAAATGTTCTCTTGGTTACTTGTACTTAGTTTATCTATGTCATCGCCATTAGTATTCATTTCGTTAGCAGCGGGTGGTGGCGTTTGATTACCCAAATTCGAGTGCTGTGAGGCATTTATACTATTTTTATCTTTTGTGGGAGAAAGTACTTTGCCCAAAATACTTTTCGAACCGGAAAGTATTAAATTCTTGACATCCTTTTTGGACGTTGGCGACAATTGCAATTTATCAATACCAAATATATCGTCATCAAACGAATTTTGATGCAGTAATTGTGCCTTTAAGTGACTCAAATTTAATAAATTTTGCGAGGAGAGATTGTCGGACTTATAATTGCCAATCACGTAACTGGACTCATCTGATGTGGGACCTACAAAAAAATAATGTACTGGTTAGGTTATTTGTGATATGATTTTATTGGTAAGGAAATTAATTAATAATTTATTTTGTTTAATTGTTTATTTATAAGCAATTTCGATTTGTACTTCAGTTTGTGTTTTCAATAAACAAAATAATTTATTTTATTTATTTATTTATTTTTTTTACCAATTTGTTCAATATGCAATTGCTTGCCAGTGAAATGTGCACGCAATTGATGCAAATACGTCATGACAGCCAATTTATCCGGCACAGCCAAAAGACTCATATCACGTGGCTCGATGACACGTGGTATGCCGAGTGCTTCGGCAGCATCAAATGCAGTACGACAATTTCCAACAACATCATGTGCAGACAATTTCGACATATCGCTGTAAAGAAAGTAAAAAAAACATTATTATTTGCAAGAAATTTTGAAGTGTTTGCAAAGAAATAAATTTGATTAGAGAATATCGTATTCCACACTTACATTAATTCAGGTTCGAAGTGATGTATAATCGCACAGAAAGCCATGCCATTACGCCAACTCGTAGTTAGGTTAGTCACTTTGACGTTAGGTGTATCTTTGGTTACTTCTTTGCACCATTCAAGTAAATCCTGTCCAGGAGTATTCTCTTTGAGTATTATTCTTTCTACAGGTTTTGTAGTGCTGCTGCTATTGCTATTGGTCGTGCTGTGGCTATTGTTACTGATATTGTTACTATTTTGAGTAGTTGAATTTTTATTGTTCTCAGGCTCGTAACTCTTTTTCAAATTTAAGGGTTGTAATTCAGCCCGTTTGGTTTCTAAACGTGTATTACCACTTTCTATATCCCTGCTATTTTCCACTATCAATTTAGTCGAATTTAAAGTAGTACTTATATTTGTTTCTGTTGAGGTATCTGTTGTACTCTTAACAGACTCATTTACTGTGGTTGCATTTGAAGAACTATCGCCACTCAATCCAGCTTCAGGTGATTTCGGCACGGTACTACTAAGCTCAGTTAATTTAGCACCACTAAAATTAAGCTTTTTGCGTTCACTTTCACTCGCCACATTATTACCAATAGCTTTTGCCTCAGCATAACTTGCAATAGGAGTAGAAGTAACTATGTTCCCGAACTTCTGATTTGGTGGAGTTAGTTTGATAGAATTTTCGTTTTGTTCTGGTTCTGCAATTGATGTCATCACTAATTCTTGAGGAACTATTGTCGATTGTTGTTCTTGTTTTCTATCGATATATTGTTGCATTTGACTTGCGCTGGGTGTCTTAAGTGAATCCACTTCACCGTCTCCGTATAGTTTATCTGGTTCAAGTTCGAAATTTAAACGATTAACTTCTGCCAATGGAGTTGGATCTTCAGATAATGAAGGTACTACACAATATTTTACATACGGTTATGAGGTTACAACGACAACAACAACAATAACAAATTTATGTAAACGGTTTCAACGATACGTATGTGTAATTAGTCAGCACAATTTGTAGTTTAGTTTGGATGGATGAGGTTATAAATAGTTAAGGAAATAGAAAGAGTGGTGAAGGATATATGTTATAATTGACAAAATACATTTTTACATGTGTTTCTATTGATAAAGTAAAAACCGAATATGACTTTATACTAGCTCTCTTCTTAAAGGCTTTAAAGCATTTTAATGTTCGAACAGTTCAAGCAAATTCGAAATTAGATATTTGAATTGTATATTTCTAATGCTTGAAATTGTTTGAGCTGCTCGATGAAGTTCGAGGTACTCCGATATATTATCTACTTTGTGTTACATTTTATTTACGTTGTGTTACATATACTCGATCATTAAAATGTTCGTATTATCTTGAACAATGTTTAAAGATTTACTTTATACAGAGTTGGCTATATTAAGTGAAATAGAGCAGTACAGACCAGTCGAAATTAATATAACTGATGAAGCGCATTTCATGGTTAACGAAACTGTAAACAAACATAATTGTTGGTTTTCCCGATTTTTCTTGAAAATGGTATGTACCAATTCTGGTTTCAACAAGATGGCACACCACCTCATACAGCTTTTACCACAATCGTTTTTTTTTTTTTTTGAAACTAGACTTTTTAACCGCAGCCAATAACCCCATCGGTTGTTGATACCAGACTTTTTGCGCTTAAGTTACTTGAAGTCTTATATTTATATCAACAAGTCAAATACCTAAGAGGAACTCAAGGCCATCATCCGCTAAGAAATAGATGCTATAGCCATTCGGGCTAAAGGTGGCCACTTGCGGAATATTATCTTCAGTAAGTGAAATAATCAAATCAGCTTAAATCAAGTCAGGCGATTTTTAACTTGAGCAAAAATAAATGTTTTTTTTTAAGTTTTATTTCGTAAATAAGTAGGTCCACCTAATGTAGCCAATCCTGTACACATTAAGTGAATACTTGAAATTTTTACTTTATAAATTTCTTTTTTTGTTTTAATGGTATTACAATTATATTTATAATTTATCTCATACCAAGGGTTTATTTAAAACCCCATTTGATTTAAAGTCACATTCGATTTTTACCGCATATACATATAACATTAAAATAATCATGTCCTAAAAACTATATATGTTAATATTTATCATGCTTAAGTTAAATACTATGGGAAAATCTAAACTATTTATTATCTTAGAAATGAATAAATAAAATTATTAAAAAAAGTTATTAAAATTTTTGTTATTTATACGAAAAATGATAGTTTGTCAGAAAATCATATATCTAATACATTAATCACATACATATAATTAAATAATATACATAGAACATTAAACATATAACTACTCATACATAAGGAAAACATGGACATATATTTACTTACCACTCAAAGGCGTCGGTAAATCGATACAGCCATTAAGACTCGTTGTCATTTGTTCAAGTTGCTGTGTGAAATCGTATAAATGATCTGAAATATCACCTGAATTTTCTAAATCGGGAATATCTTCAAGATCATCAAGTGGCGCGACATCACAGTTATTATTGACTGACATTAAAGAAACTACACTTTGCATGTCTTCGTCACTAAAAAAAAAAATGGAGAAAAAAAATAATTATAGACATAGAAAGAAATTGACTTGGGTCGTTATATTTATCTATACGAAGATCACATATATATATAGATTATATAAGTAAGGTTAAAAAAAAGAAAATAATAATAGCAGTTATCTAATAATATATAGTCTATAGATCTTAAACTATCTCTCTTTATATATAGATCAAAAGAATTTTATAAATTGAGAACTCTAGGTATTATCATTTTAAGTTCTCATATCTCATTCAGCTAAAAAAGCACCCAATATACATATGTTATCTCTTATGTATTGTATGCTATATTATATAGTATATATTGTTACAGAAAGTATCTAAGACAATTTTTAAAATAACTTACGTTGCTTTTCCTTCCCGCAGAAATACACAACTAATGGTTAATTCCAAATTGGCTGATGTTATTTTTCGCGAGACCGGCTTCAGGGTTAATGTAAAGCTCTGCTGTGTGGACTCTACACTAGCATATTTACGCATATTTATTGCGGCAGAGGCTAAGACGCGTTTTTTACCTAAATGTGTGATCTGTAAAGAACAGAAAATAAAATTAGAAATAAAATCGAAACTTTGTAATTACAAATATTCATTATTTTATTAGAGAACCTATAGCACTTCAGATATTTCTCACAGACACTTTCAACATAATTCAAAAATCATGACATGCATACTAAATGATCAATTCTTCCGTCTGTCCATAGGTGGTAAGTATTAGGTACATATGCTTCCGATTTTTTCTTTATTTATTTTCTTTACTTTTATTCACTTGACGCGTGACCAAGTTAAGCTGATATTTTTATGAATACTACAAAATTTGGGACCAAGTGTACCGTCATTTTGGCGCAGTTTCATTTAAAAAATTTCCATAAAAGGATTCCCATATGATTTAATGTCGATGTGAAAATGTATAAATATTTTTAGTACTTCTCAGTATGTTTTATGGAAATAATACGTGACTGCGTTGTGTATGTCAGTGAAAATGTTTGCTTCAATGAAATTACAAAAATTATTTTAAATGAGAAAAATAATTTCAACTAACATTTTTATGCAAGATATAAAAGTCATTTTTACAGATATTTTTAATAAAAAGATCCATGTTATATTTTAAATTGACTTTTTAGTTATATTTACTAGGAGTACGTATATTTTCACAATCTAAAATAGTTTATGTGGTTCGCTTTATGTAAAAATTATAACAAAATTTTATGGAGCCATTCTTCGTTTATGAGTTCCGTGGTAATAACATAGATAATGAAAGAGGCATAAAAATATTTTAAGTTTGGATATATTCGATATTTTTATTTAACTTTGTATCATTATATAAAAGAAATATATATTAAAAATTTTACAAAACTACATTTTTAATTTTTTAACATTTTTAAATCCCATAAATTTAAAATTTCATTATGAGAAAAAAAGTAATATATTTATATCGTCAACAACTGAAGATTTACAATACTTTCGACATACCTTAATACAATTCAGTGAGATAAAACAATTTGTACTAACAAGTCCAACATGAATAAGATTTCCAATTGATCAGAGACTGTTTAACAGAAATGAAAAGTTTTCTAATCCTTGGAATGGATTAGATTCAATTTCTCTGTTTTTTTACTTCTTCCTTCTTTCATTTATTCTTTGTGGAGAATAGCTCAAAGCCAAAGTCCTCGTATGTTTCTTACAGTAATACCTAATAATTAAGCTATATTGACTTAAAGTGAAATTGAAGAAGTTGCTCAAAATAGCTATTAAAATCCCGAAAAACCGAAAGCGTACTATTTATTACAAATAAAATTTAATTTAAAAAAAGTTGGCTAATTATGATAGTCAATTGAAGAGAATTACCATTGTATGACTATGATGGCTTTACTTCTTCTATCTCAAAGGGGTCTCAAGATCTGCAGTCATTATTAAGCGGTAATAACAAGTCTTTGATTAAGGATAACGTGATATGAAAACTATAATAACTATTAAGTCTTCTACAAATTTTAAAAACATTTAAATAAATTGATTAGTATATAGTCTAATAGAATAAAAATACTTTAATATTATTTTTTCTAATAAACCCACGCGAATTGTCCTTTAAAAAAGATGTTTCATTGCTTATCAATTATCACTTTTAATTTATTCCCATTTAACTAGCGTGTCACTTGGTAATTGAGTATGAATATATACTTATTACAGTTGAAATATTTCAGGGACATATTTATATATCGCACAGAGCACATTTTAATTAATTTATTACATTTTTTATTCATTAACAATTTTAATGGCACTTAGCACTGAAACATTTTATTTGCTTTGGAATATACGAGCATTTCCTCACAATGTAGGTGGATTGCGTTGCAAGGACAAGCCTGTGCACAGAAGTGAAAATTATAATAAATATGTAAATATGAATTTATGATTATCCTTAAATCACTCAAATGTTTACTTATATCGATTATTTTCAATATAAAAATAAAGAGTCCTTGAAAAAAACCGCAATCAAAAATAAATTAGCTGCCATTGCCAAGTACATCTGAGATGTACTTATTGTACTCGAACAATATATGGAATATAAATATAATAAAAAATTGTATACATAATATATATAATATATATACAAGCTGTAATGTGTTTACAGGTTAAATCAAATTTTTTTTTCAAGAAATACATATAGTTTTTCTATCACAAAAAAAAAAACTAGTAGCCTTAAAAGTGTAGTTGCTCCTTAGTTTCACTATTGCTTCTTCACCGAAATGTCCAATTAAATCCAATTATCCTTCAAACTTCGACCTTCAGTTTGGTAACTAAAATGTAATTTGGTAAATAGAAAAGTTTTGTTTGGTGGTTTAGGCTATTAGAGTGACCAAAATAAAAATGTAATAACTGCTTTGACTGGTCATAAAATTTTCCATTTCATTGGTTTTTGTTGTTTGGGTTTCCAACTTAGAGTATATTTAACGCCATATAAAAAAGTTATAATATATTCGTTTAAGAACTTTAGTAGACATTTACAATAATTTTTGAATAAAATTTTAATCGAATTTTAAGGAACCGTCAAAGTTTTAATAGTTTTATTGCATTGGAAGTTTTAGGTTTTTTTTTTTAATTAAATTTTTAAATCGTCATTGCGGCATTTTCCAACTTAGAAAAATAAGCAAAGCAAATGGGTCTTGTGGTAAATGAGGACAAAACAAAGTACTTTCTGTCAACAAACAACGGTACCCGCAAGTGGAAAACGTGGTAGAGGACGTCCGCATATTCGGTGGAAGGACTAGGTGACCAACGATTTGCGGGGCTCAGTACTACCAACTGGCGTCAGAAAGCAACTAATCGGGCTGACTGGCAGAGGCTACTCGACGCAGCCAAGGACGACCCACGTCTGTTATGGCTAACTAAGTAAGTAAGTATGTAAGTAAGTAACAACTAAAAGAAATTATAGACCTGCCAAATTCTTATTAGTTCTGGTTTTTAATATTCAACTAACTTGGTTTACAATAAAATTAAAATTAAAATTTTAGAATTTTTGTTATTGTAGTTCACTACTTTTCAAAACCTCTCTATTAAATTTTATTTTCAGATCAGATTCTATTAAAACGTATCATACCGAAAAAAAATAAGTTTAGTTTTCTGCTTATTTTTCTACCAACGGAGGCTATTTCAGCTGAAAAAAGTGCGGGTTAGTCAACAGGACAACTTCTTGATATTTAGATTTAAGGTTTTACTCTTTTAATAATGATTATGTGAACGAAAACAACAAATGGTATGGAGTATCAATCCGTTTATGCAATTTTTACATTGATTACACAAATAATGGATAAATACAAGAAGATGGATGGAAAATTTTCATGTTCACGGCCTAATATCTCAAAAACAAAGACACATCAACATATACTAAAGAGTATTGGCAAAACGTCATTAAAATAGCTACCTTTATTAAAATATATCTCGTGATATAAGCATGTGCAGGAAATCGAAATCGGTTGATAAAAGTTTTTGCCACAGCATTATTCGTTTGGCCTATATTAAAGCTGGATAGTCACAAAGAATTTTATATAAAAATCCGAATATGCTTCGTTAAAAAATTTCTAATATTAAACGAAGACAGATGCTTCTGTAGGCTGTATTCTTTTCCTATAATCACAAACAATTTGATTAAAAAAACAGGGATGTAGGACCCTAATTAGACAGAATATTATAACTGTGGTTAGGCTTTTGTAGTGACACTTACAGAGCAAAAGACATTCATTTTTTTAAAAAAATATTAGAGTCTACAATGATAAGGAACTCCTAAGGATACGCACTTCCAACTCAGCACTCTCTTCTGATCTAGATCATTGCAAAATAGTCATTAAAAATCTTGTCTAAAATTCAGTCGACTTGCTTCTCTTCTAGTATTCCCCAACAAAATACATTCTTATCTTTGGTTTCTGAAATGCGTTCGTTTCATATTGGTTTTGTTGTAGCAAAGTATATCTATTAAAGGCCCAATACCCTACTCCACTGTGAGCTTATGGAGATACTCAGTTTATATTGTAATTCTTTTCTTAAAAAGAGCTATGAAACAGATTTTAAGACAATTATATATTACATGAATCTGCCACTTTCTTTGACAAGTGTATTTAAAATGATGATTACTTTTTAGTGAATTCATATAAACAAACAACATTTTTAAACCTACGTACTCGTATTTAAATCTACATAATCATGTGATAAATGAATGTAGATACAGAAAATAAATTTTTCAAAAATGTCTTTAACGAAAGTAACAAATTGTTTGAGAAAATTTGCAGACAGAAAACGTAATAATTTGATTTATTTTCTCGAAAATTGTGTAGGTGTTTGAAAAACAAATCATTTAGGTTTGCATGTCTGAAGCAATTTAAATTTATTTGAAGTGAAAAGAACTTAAGAGTGCCTTAAAAAATTGCATGCACTCTTAAAGGGTAAAAGTATCTAGAAAGATGTATCCAAAGAAGAAAGATTGATTTGGAAAAATTAAAGAATATTTTAGTTATATTATTTGGAAGAAAAGCAGAATTTATATTGAAGAGTTGTTTGTAAAAGTAGATAATTAAATCGCATCACTTTTGGTAATATATATATATATATACATAAATTGAATTTTATTTTAAAAACAATTATTTAATTAGTAAATTCCTTATATGTTTTAAACAAGTCTCGAATATTACGCAAATCAAAAATATATCAGAAAAATATTCTATAACCAATACCTAACTTAAAAAATATATCCAGTATATGCACAGCATAATATATTATATAAAATATTGCACTTATGTGTTTTTCTAAAAGAGTAGATACTTCCATTAAATTCTGTAGCTTCATAACTTCATCTTATCAGCAAATAAAAATTTTCATAATACAGAACTTTATATTCAACACAGTTTTTATGCCACATAAATCTGTGGATTTTATGTAATAAACGCTGAGTATTTGTCAGCTCAGAAGAATGCACAGAAAATTGATTTCCACGCCAATCACTAGCGTCATAGAAATGAAATCGTCTAGCACCCACATGCTCGTAATATAGGCAAAGCTCTTCAAAAATTCAATTAAATACAGAATTGGTTGTGTATCTTATAGTATTTGTCGTTATCGTTGTTGGATTTTTTACTGTAGTTTTATGCATGTAGATACATTGCAGTAAGTACGCACAGTGAACGATAACAGGAAATTCAATCTATATAAAACGACTTAATGCGGAAAGATTAGAATACAATAAGTTAAGATATACCGGGTCAGCATTATAGACTGTTGAAGTACTCTACATACAGTAGGTATAATTTTGAAACATAGGGAAAAAGCAAACAACAAACAAATTAGAGTATCTAAATATCAACCAAAATTGTGTATACAGAATTTATAAGAGAATATAAATAGATCAATTTAATGAAGAATAGGATTATGACGGATGATAAGTGAAGCATATAGTGGCAATGCAACCAATACACAAAAAATTACTTATACAGAATTTATAAGATATAATAAAATAGATTAATTTTTCGAAGAATAGGTTTACGAGAGATAATAAGTAAATCATATGCTGACAGTGCAACCAATATAAAAAACAATTCGATTCGTTAAAGAAGGCACAGCGAGACTCGTTATTTTTTTATCACAACCCATATAAGAAAATAGCTTGAAAAAGACAGTATGTAAAAAAATATGAGTATAGAATATATGAGTTTTGGGTTCCTAGTTGGGCAGGGCGCTACAAAGAACTTTTGTGTTACAATTTGTCCTAATCAGACAAAAGACATACAGTTTAAAAAAAAAAAACATTAAAGTATACTTTATTAAATAATTCCAAATATTAAATAATGATAAAACTTCTCGCCACAGCATTATTCTTATGGTTAAAGCTGAATATGCATAAAGAATTTTACACACAAGTCATAATCGTTTAATAATTCTTAATATTAGGCGAGGGCAGGTACTTCTGAGACAATATTCTTTCCCCATAATCATGGAAAATTGGTTTAGAAAAAAAAGATGCATTTAGGACACTAATGGAATAGAATACTGTACTGTAGCTACGGTTAATATTTTGTACTGACACTAACATAACAACAGAGAATCATTTTTTTAAGTAAGAATAATGTGCTTGGTCAAAGAACTCCTAAGAACACGTACTCCCGTATTATCTTCTGACTTGATCACTGCTAAATAGTCATTAAGAACCTGACTTAAATCTAATTCACTTTCTTCTCGCCTTCAAGTATTGTATATTATCACTGGAGTTTCTAGGTCTTTATAAAACTCAGCAAATGATTCTGACACACTTGTTTTAGAATACTTGCAGTCTATCTACATATAATAAATTTGAGTAACTATGTATTAGTGCTTTATAGCACGCCGTGTATGCATGGAAATGGGTCATAAGCGCGGAAATTTTTAAAAGATATATAAAGTACTTTGTGTTTTTAATACGCTTTCAACTCCGCGATATTTAGACATCAAGGTAGCAAAAATCAACAACATTTTCTATTGTAACTGTATGGTTTTCAGTGACTGTAGTTTGGGGATGCTTGTTCCTTTCTCTAGTATACAAACCGTTTTATCGTTTTGAGATAATTGCTAAAGCTTTATGCTGAGTCTTTCGAATGTATAGGTCGTAAACCAGATATTTCATGTTTAATCCAAATTCAAAGTTTTCTCGATAACTATATATATAGTTATCGAGAATATAGTTATCACTATATATAGTTTTTGGGAACTTTTACGCGGATGTTCCCAAGTAGAATGACAAGAACAATTATTAACTTGGAACAGTCATAGGAAGCCAACACACCCTAGACGATAATTTATGATAATAACAGGAAACATATTATATATAACATATTATATTGCTTCATGTTTCTGTGGATGGTCAACTGCTAGGTTTGAATAAACAGAAGAAACTTTCTAATTCAATGTTTTAACTAATGCGATTCTAATTCAATGTTTTTACAAACTTTCTAATTCAATGTGCTATATAAAAAGTAGCTGATATTTTTTCTAAGTGTTTGTTCTATTTTTTTATAAATGAGTTCAATTTTATTTAGAAGAGAAAATAAAAGGAAAATATTGCTTTCAGCAAGAGTACCATATGTGGATAAATTGTGCTTTTGTAAGTGGCTGTCGGGTCAATAAATTAATTTAATGATTATTTTGAATTTGCAAGAAATTCATTTATCGCAATTTATATATACACGTATATATAGTATACGTTTTACAAAAAATAATCCGAAGCATATTTATTTGGCAATTAGTTGAATTGAACCAATTTATTGGAGATTTTGTAAACGTTTCTTTCTGGTTTAAAAAACGACAGCCACCAACCAAATATCTAGACAGTCTTATAACTTAAGCACATTCAAAGCTTATAAAAAAGTTCAAAGGTTCACAACAAATAATTTTTAATTAATTCTATTTAAAATTACAGCATAATTTTTCGCAGAATCTAAAATTTTTAAATAAATTCTATGGAAATGGTGTTGCTTTTTAATGTGGTGAAATGAAATGTACTTGAAAATCGGATTAACCATAAAAGCCTATTAACATTAAAGTCATGAAAGCCTTTAATTCAGACTCAGTCAGTCTATGAGGAAACTTCATGTGCATAAATTAATTACAATTGATATGAAAAGTGCGAAAATGGTAAACAGGCGACACTAGCACATAGTCTAGTCTCTATAGATACAGATAAAAACCGCACATGCGATAACTGTCAGTTGGGCAGTATTGCAAATGAAACCGCAGTAAAAGCACACTATTAAATGTAAGAGCACAAGAGCGATACATTTTGTACGGCAATAGAAAAGCACTAAATGAAATTAAAAAAAAAAAAAAATATAGTATGGAAATATGCAAAATAGGTCAATGGGCCTGGGTGCGCAACAATTTCATATCAAACGAAAAGTATGATTTCAACAGGGCAAGTACGCAATGCAGTTAGTAAGTAGGTTAATTAATGCAAATATTTTACATACTAAAGCAACGGATGCATAAATTTATATTATTTTTGCAAATACAAAATAATTTTGAACTGTAATTATCTAGTTATCTTATATTACTTAAAAGCAAATACTTACATCTTCGATTACGAAAGTCCAGTCCTTATCCTCTAGTTCATGTGTACGTGGATCTTTGAACAATGTGACCGAAATAGCATGATTATCGGGCACTGGCCAAGATATGTGACCGACCAGCGGATTCATCATATCTGGCTCCCAAGGCAGTGGCGCTGAAGCGACACGACGTGAACGGCGTGTCCAAACGACTGCGAGATTTGATGGTCGCCTGAAATTAACAAACCAAAAAAATTTAATTTATAATCCACTGTGATTAAAATAAGATTTAAATACAGCATTAAATTAAGAGATTTTAAAGAAATTATATTTGAGTAAATTTACTTTCAAGAAATATTTTTATACTTCATATGCTTTCATGTGTGTAAATATTTGGTCGATTAAAAATATTTGCTTAATTAACTCTAAAAAAGCTTAACAATTTCTGTATGCTACAAAATGGATACACCAGCAGCTTAACAACTAAGAAAATATCTGCAGGAGATATATTGTTTTAGTAGCATCATTTCATCTTACAACAAAATGTAATACGGCGCAACTGTATTACAGTGGCGTGGCAGAAAAAAATAGCACAGGGACATGAAAATCAAACGGAAGTACATAAACTTTATTCAGACTGATTATATGTATATATGAGTAAAATAAATATTTGTTATGTGACGAGTCGCAATATAAATAAAACTTTATTAAATGTTACTCAGGATTCTAGAAGTGTATAAATCTTGTCTATAACGACTAATTCCATGTTTTCATTTGTCTCATTAAGACAATTTTACTCATTTAGACAGACCGCTAATGAGTTTAATTTAGCATACAGCTTTCATATAAATGAGCTCATTATAAATAAATTAATTGATTTAAGGTAAAAAATATCAAATGCAGCCCTTAAAAATAAATTTTCCACAAGTGAAATTACTAAAATTTGAAACATTTATCATATATATGTTTTATATATAAAATATAAATAAAGAAGCTACTTCACTTGCATAAATCAGCTTATGCTAATGGAAACGACCAAATCTTAATTTCATTAACATAAGTAATTTTAGCTACAGTGGAAACATTTGTATCATGTGTCATTTAATTCTCACATATAAGTGTTAACGTACGAATCTGTAGTAACGGTGACACGATACGGATTAACAATACGAAACAACTATAATTTTATAGCTCTGTAAGATAATTAACGAAAAATAGGTTAGAAGAAGTAAACTTCTTCAAAAATAAAAAAAGAATTTATTTAAAAGCCTTTTCAAACATTGAAGGAAACTACATAGACTTCATAAAGTACATTTATTCTCGATCAGCTAGACAAATTAAGTTCAAAGAAGTCCCTGAGTTTTTATGATACTTTAACCAAGTCTTGCACACATACTTTACGTAAGCGGACTTTGATCATTTATCGAATTAACTGAAACAGACCTCTGTGGAATATAGGTGAATTCTTCAAAAATAAATAAATTAAACTAAAATTATAGCTTTCTTAAGAAGTATATTTACATATAACTAATTTTTCTATGTACAAAATAATATATTTACTTAAAAGTTTCTATTGGCTTAAAACACTTTCACTAAAAAGTATGTTAGGTACATTATTTGTATATTATGCATTGCGACCAGCTTGATCTATTGTACAATATTAGCATATCAACTACAATTTACAATTTAAATTATAAGCAAAGTATATTTCTCACAGTACATAAGGACATTCAAAAGAATTATGCTAAAACAGTTCTTAAATCGATTTGCTTATCTCCCAAACCTTATGAAAATCTAAATATATTTATTGTTATCGATTCAAAAGGTAAAGGTAAGCACCGTAAAAAACCGACTTCCACAACACTGCTTTTTATTTAATTTTAAGCGCACATGCTGCATCTCATACTAAGTATTTAACCCCAAACAGTCATTAAAGATTCAAAAGCACCATTACGATTACTATCATTAAACTAAAAGGCAGCATCATCGTTGTGAAAGTGAATCTGAATGTGAGAAAAAAACCAAATCTTTACATGCATCCACTAGAATCCACTAGAATTGCGCATTGCTCTGCAATACGAAAAATAGAAAAAGAATCTCAAGGATACACATTTTCCTGCCTTAAGCAAACTTTCACTGGTTGTTTACTGAAGAGAAGTAAATGTTTTTTTTTTCATCTTCCATTTTGGCGCGCAACACTCAAGCAAGTCAAGCAAGGTAAAGCATATAAACTGGGTCAACATAGTCTTCCTTCTCGAGCACTTTTCCTTTTTACTTCCTAAGTGTTGGCCATTATGAATCAAAACGTGAAAGAATCTGTGAATTATGATTATTTTTTTATTTTTTTGAGCAAAATAATGATTTCTTTTTACTGGTTATTTGTTACCAGAGAGGTAAAGGTATTTGAGGTAAAGACGCCCCCGAGCACGTTTTTAATGCGAAAGTATGTCGTGCAATTGCCGTTACCATTTCATTTTTCTAACTTATTGTGCCAATTTGGGTGTAAAATAGTATAAAAGGTGTCAACTGTGTGCCTATGTACTTACAAATCGTTTTAAATTAAAACCAAAGGATGTCGTAAATGTCTAATGTGCCGAGCATGACACAATTTATTTTATAAATTGTTAGATAAGGAAATCTTTTAAACTGAAAATTCTGAATATTAGCATCCTTTACGGAAATTGCAAAACAGATGATTTTTTATTATTTTAACAAGAAATCGTTATGTGTAAATTCAAATAAACTTCCTCGAATTGTTCTTACAAATCTGATAATCAAATTTTAAAGAAATTCTCAATTTGACCTACAGTAATTTCCTCAGCCATTGAAAATGGTCACAAGTTTAAATTAAATAAATTAAATTTATAAATATTTGAACTAAATTAAAATTAATTTATTATTTAAGGTTACCGTTTGACAATACAAACTGAACTTACTTATTGCTATAGATAGCTTGCAAAATTCTGAATAGATAACATTTAAAAGAAAAAGTATTAATATCACTACTCAACTTAAGTTCGTTTATTTACTTATGTTCATACTTAAGCATACACGCATCTATACTCTAAACTCACCTCAATACTCGCAGATAACACGAAAACGAAGGGAAGAAGAAACAAAAAAAATTGTCGTTAAAACTGTGACAAATAAGAAAAAAAATATTGACAGTGAAAAACCTTTCATAAAACATATTTAATATTATAACTGGAAACTATATTTTTATATAGCTATGGGTTTTTATAGAGCAGTAATTCCCAACCGGTGGTTCGGGAGATGATTAAAAAGGGTCCGTGCGCATCAAATTTAACAGATAAGTATCCGGATTTTGTTGTTTATTAACTACTCCTTAAGTAATAGACCTTTTTAAAAAAAATTTTTATATTGGTACACCCATTATTGACATATAGTATAAATTTGAGCGCCATCTCTCAATTAGTTTGTTTTCAGCAGCTGTTAATGTGAGACTACCTCAAGTGCATTTTGCGATTTTTACTATGGAATATTCTTGTGGTACGCGATTTTTTGACCAAACACGGCACCACTACCATCGCTCAGGCACCATATTCGCCAGATCTAGATCCGTGTGACTTTTTCCTGTTCCCGAAACTCAAATTGCCCCCTCGTGGTAAGCGTTTTGAATCGATTGAATCGGTAAAAGAGAATTCGCTGAAGAAACTAAAAGCCATACCTGCACGGGCCTATGAAAAGTGTATGGAAGATTGGGTTAAGCGTTGGTATGTGTGTATCGCTTCAGAAGGAGTATATTTTGAAGGAGATAAAATAAATTTGGAATAAAATTTAAATTTGTGTGTTTTATTTACAAAACCCGAATTCTTTTTGAGCAGAAGGTAACCATCTAATTCTGGCTTAATTTCATGCTTTTAAAAGCAAGTATTCACTCAATACGCTTTTCATTATTTTGATTGATTTTTCATAAATTTCAATATTAAAGAATAACAAAGAAATACTTATATATGACATTATAGATAGAACAATAGCAGGGAAACAAATACTTAACACAAACAACAACTACTTAGAGTAATTTGGTAGTTGAAAAAGCAACTATTTATCATTACAGCTATTAAACTTAGTTTTATATTCAAGCATTCACTTATTCGAAATCCATTCCTAATTGTTATTCACACAAAAACACAAAAAACAACTGCTGGTGTGTGATATTGTAGTTAGCACAGTTTCTCCCAGTTGGTATAGTATATTGATTTGCGGTGTAAGCTGTTATTTAATTTTTAAATGTTTGCTTTTTTCATAAATTGATTTATTATCATTTGCGATTAAATAAAATAAGTCTCGATTGTTCAATTCATATCAATTGTTCAAACTCAACAGATCAAGCTGTTAATATCTATATTTCAATCATGTCGATTTAGGCAATAATCTCTATACCTTAAAGAATATAAAATATCTATTTCACTACGTTTCCAATACTTTGGTTAATTTTATTTACTGAGTCCAGCAGATTTATAAGGAAATAAATAAAAATTAAAACTATTAAAATTAATAATAGTGTTAAAGAGCGATAACCATTTTTAATAAAGCTACAGACTTTCCACATCTTGTTCAAATCTTTTCTTCTCAATTCAAATTTCTGTGTATGAAATAATCAAATAAACAATTTTTATACTTAATCGATTCGTTTCTTTCGTCAGTTAAAAAATTTTATATTCATAGTTTGTTTAAGGACAATAAAAATAAAAAATTAAGTCCACAAATTATTAGGCCACAAAATATTACATGAACCAAGTTTTACAATCTAAATTTCTTTTTTATTATATTTATTTATTTTTATTATATGAGAAATTGGAATATTATTAATTTTATGTAATTCCTATATTTTTGTATGAAGTTCCTGAACTGTCCATTGGTCTACTATTGCCGCCAATGGTTTAATATGGAATGTACAATTATATCTATATATGTATATCAAACTTAGTGTGATTCACTAATTAAAAAGTTAATTGCACAAATAATTATTTTGGATAAAAGCCAAGACCTTCCAACAAAAAATAAAAAGAAATGAATAAATTCTGTTCAAATAGATACTTGAAATATTTAGAAATAATATTTGTGTATGAGTAATTTATCTGAAACAAGCTGTACAATGCCAAATCTCAAAAGAAGAAAATCCAAGAAATTAATGGAGATAAACATAAGAATCCAATTAAAACAACAGCTTATCTCGTTCTAAAAAAATAAAAGAATTTTATTGAAAGC